TATCGAATAAATGAAAGCCATTGTGCTCCTGACTTTCACACATATCTTAAACTCAACGTCATATAAGCTTCCCTCAGCTCATTTGCAAATTTAAATCAAGCCACCAACCATTTCGTTTGCTCCTCGAAAGCGACTTTCATATGGTTTTAATTACGCACTGCAATAAATGCTGGGGAATTAATTACATTTATATTTTTCACCAGCGATTTCAGCGAAAAAGTCACCAAGAAGCCATAAAGGGTTAAACAATGGACAACATATGTTTGTATGTGCCACACATAAGGACTGTGAACCGCAGCAAGAGGTTTGCCAGAAAAGGATACGCGCACTTTATTCGAACACTTTGGCAATTGCAATTGTTGCTGTTGGCAGTTCAATTTGTTCTCTGGCAGCTGAGCTGAACTGAGTGGAGTGGCAGTAGCAGCAGAAGCAGCACTGATGCAAGTTGTATCCTTTACACTTGCTTGCCAAAGAAAAATTTATACGAGTAGCGATTTTTCGTGCTCCTTTTTTATTTATTTTTTTTTAGTTTTTTACTTTATTTTTTTTCCTAGTTTTTTAATTTTTAATAATTTTTTTTTCCTTTTTTCCGTTGGCAAGGCACACGGAAAGACAACACGTTTTTGGCCTCAATGGCATACATGAAACTGATATTGAGAAAAGTTCATATGTCTTTCTGTGTGTAGAGTTTTCAGCTTCGCCTGTGCCTTTACTTTTAGCTGCAATTTGGCATGACCGCGGGTGCAAAGGATTAACTAATATATGAGGCTAACGTGCGGTGGTCGACAAAAAGTTACTAAGAAAAAAAATTCTTGCTTTTCGAAAGCACAAAAGTTTCATACGTAAGTAGTAACTGAAAAAAAAGAAAAGAATTAAAAAAATATAAAAAGGAAAAAAAGATAAAAACAAAGAAAAGAAAAAGGAAGAACTAAAATAAAATTGCCAAAAATTCGCAAGAAATTGCTGCTGCCTTTGGTGTCGAATAAAAATTTGTTAGCCACCGTATGTGTGAGTTCTTTGTGAAGCTTTGCGCTGCCGAAAATAACATTACACCACACATGCACACTCACCTAAGCATACACATGTGTCGGCAACCTTTTTGACCTGCAACACTTTGCAAAATTGTTGCCTTTCTTCTCTCTATCACTCGCGTGAAATTGCTCGCCACTCACACGCTGCAAGTGGTATTGAGATTGTTGGAAAGCGTTTTGGGCTTGATTGCTAGTGGAAAAAGTAAAAAAAAAACATAAATAAAAAAAAAAAAAATAATAGTAACTAAGTGAGGGATTTTGAAAATTGCTAAAGCAAATATATAACTCCCCAGGGTTGCATTAGGCTGCATAGACACATACCTATGCACTTATATAACTACACTTGCATGCCACTCATATTTCGCCATTTGCTACGCTCGCTTTTTATTTGACTGCCAAAATTGCTAAAATACACACAAGGAATTTTCTTTGTCTGCGGTTTGACCTGTTTTCACATATTTGGCCAGTTTTTCTCCATTCTTCGATGAGGCATAATTCTTTTCGGCATTTGTTTTTCCACAAAGTCGGCAGTGTTTTTTGTATGGATGCTATATTTCATGCAACACTTTGATGTTGACGTACGTTGGCAAATTTTACTATAGCGATGTGTGTATGTGTGTGTGAGTATGTCCATAGTTGCGCTGAAGATAGTGTAATTGGTTTGAAAAATTTCCAAAAGCTCGGACCTACAGGGATGTTGAATAATAGTACAATTTTTTGAAGAAAAAATATTGAACTTTTTTGTGAGAGGAAAATATAGAGTGACCAGATCGCACAATATTTTTATTGCAAGTGCAGAAATTTCAGATTTTGTTTTGTCAAAAATTTCAGTATATTTTCAAGATTCGATGACAATAATACGGTGTTAAATTCAGAAATTCAGTCGTAAAAATTAAGAAGAAATTATGTAATAAAAAATATTACCAATAATTTTAATTTTTTTTCTATAAATTGTAGTTGTATTTTATTTTATTTTGTGTTATTTTACTTTATTTTCTTTTATTTTAGTTATTTTATCTTATATCCTTTTAGTGAATTTTCTTTCATTTTATTTTAATACATTTTATTTTATTTTATTTTATTTTAATTAAATTTGTGTTAATTTTTTTATTTTAATTAATTTTATTTATTTTACTTATCTCACCTTATTTTCCCTTATTTTCATTCCTCTCGGTTATTTTTTATTTGATTTCAATAGATTTTATCTTATTTCGTTTTATTTTATTTTATTTTATTTTATTTTATTTTATTTTATTTTATTTTATTTTATTTTATTTTATTTTATTTTATTTTATTTTACTTCATTTTATTTAATTTTTTTTGTATTTATGTTTTTAAATTTTATTTTAATTTAATTCATTTCATTTCATTTTGTTTTTTTTTTTTGTTTTTTAAGTTTTAGTTTATTACATTTAAGTTTATTTAAATATATTTTATATTTATTGATTAAATGAAATTAAAATTTATATTTATATTTTGTTATAGTTTACTTTATTTTAATTTTTTGTTTTTTGTTTAATTTAATTTAATTTAATTTTTTATTAATTCAATTTATTTTAACTCAGTTAATTAATTTTGATTGTGTTTTATGTTGTTTTATTTTTATATATTTATTTAAAAAAAATACAAAATCGCTTGTTATTGTTGCAATTGTTATATCATATAATATAATATATAATAAAAAATATTTATATCATGTTTATTCTTTTAATACAGTAGCTCTTATTTATCGGGCATTAATCAAATGGCCTGTAAAGAAAGTGGGTGAAATAAGTTTTAAAACGATTTGACTAATACAACTCAGCTGAGCTCAAGAGATTCTTCTCTGTATTTAGTTTTTTCTTCCGGTAAAAAAATCTTAGTCCATTGAGAATATTTACGAATTTAATCAAACTGGGAAACACTCGAAAAATCCACCTTCCATTTAACCAAAATATATATTATTAAAACCACACCTTTACTTAATAACCATTTCTCCAATTTATCCATAAAACTTAACATTCAACCATAACATACTGTAGTACGTAACAGTCTGCAGCCTCACTCTACGCGTCTTCAATGTTCATAATAAATTTACTTTTTTGCAAATTTTTGACATTAACATTTTCAGCGTTGAAAGAATGTTCAGCAAAAAGAAGGAAATTCATGCAAACTGGCATGAAAGCGTAAAAAAATTAAATAGAAATAAAATGGTAAAGCGCTGAATTTATTTGGATATTCCCTGGTGCGCTTAAGCGCTCGAAAATATGCAATCAAACTTTACTGTCTGCAATAAAGTGTACGAGAAAAGGGCTTTTTGGCGGCTACAGTTTGTAGCAGCGTTTGGTTTGACGATGAAAATAATATTAAAATAGTTTCCGTTTTTTTGGGTTATTGGAAAATATTGTGAAATAAACCGAAAAGGCTGTGTTAATGACTGTTATATAAAATATTTTAAAACGGTTTGGTATGCGTAAAAATTAAATATAGGAAAAAATGTAAAGCAAAGAAATAAAATAAAAAATTATGAAAAAAAATTTAAAATTTTTACTATATAACAGAAACAGCAAAAGAGGATAAAAACAAAATAAAAAACTACAGTCAAATTGAAGCAAAATAAAAAAATGAAAAAAAAATAAAGTAAACTAAATTAAAACAAAATATAATGGTAATAATAAAGTAAAATAACAACATAATTTACATAAAAAAATGAAAAAAAAATAAAGTAAACTAAATTAAAACAAAATATAATGGTAATAATAAAGTAAAATAACAACATAATTTACATAAAAAAATGAAAAAAAAAATAAAGTAAAGTAAAAAAATATATAAAAATAAAAATAAAATGATAGAAATAATATGAATAAAAGAAATTAAAAAAAAAAATTAAATTAAGTTGAAAAAATAAAATAAAATAAATTAAAATAAAATATTTGCACCTCTGTCCTGCTTATTTTTTCTGCTCGGTTTTATAAAAAAATTAATTTTTCCTTTATTAGTAACCATATTAGAACAAAGCCAACATAACTCTTACATGTTTAGATATTCAAGCGCGCTTTGTTGGCAATAACTCACTCAGTCTGAGCAGCGCTGCTTACATTTTACATTAGCTGATGTTGCCATACTTTTTATAATTTTTTTTTTGTTTGTTTTAACTGCGTACTTTCCAATTTTGATGGTTTCAGGCCAAATTCACTGCATTCACAAGCATAACCTGCTCCGCTTTGCCAATATTGGTTTATTGCTAACTTAACTTAAATGGTGTAACACACACACACGCGCGTGGTCACATATATATATCATTTCTATGTGTGTGTCTGTGTTTACATTTGAAAAACTGCATATGCACATTTTTCACTTCAGCCAGCGATCATTTTAGCTATGCTGTGACCAGCATAAGTGGAGTAGCAGCTGCAGCTGCACCTAAAAATATGCTTTGTTTTATATTGCACAACATAATTCGTTGGCGCAGTCATTCATTTACTACTTTTCTACCATTCTTTCATTCGTTCCTTCAGTCTTTCTTTCTTTAAAAATGCTAAAAAATTTACGAGTATGTATGAGCATATATGTCTGTATATGTTTGCGCTCATACTTTGTAAGCACGTGTGTGTGCATGTGTTGCTGCACTATAACCTTACTGGGTGCTGCATAATTCTTGATGCAGCTGCTTAGTTATTACTTCTCGCTGGCTACCTATATACATATGTATATAGAGATGTATGTATGTATGAAATTAGTACATACAGCTGCTTGGAAAAGCTTTGCTTGCATTTTTATTGCCTTTGGCAACACTCAGAGTGTATTAAAATTGTAGTGTAGAAAAATAGAATTGGAAAAAATATGGCAAATCGAAAAGATTGCATATGAAAACAGCAGAAGAAAAGGAAAAAATAGAAAAAAATTGAGGTAATATAAAAATCAAAAGGAGCAGATTGAAAAAGAATTTTTTTTCTACGAATATTTTGTAGCAGCTTCTTTGGCACTCACCTGCAACAGCTACTACTGCTGCTGTTCCTTCGAGTGCTTTCGTTGCATTTACGGTTGTTGTTGGTGAAATTCACTTGTTTTAACCGCTCTCTTTTCCCCTCTTCTTCACTTAGCTCTTGGCTACTATTCCAAATAATCTTTAAAAAGTTTGATATGAATTCGTTTCGCTGATTTTCTCACAGCTGCATGGATTTGCTTTACTTTGCAATTTCAATCACAGTTTTAGTTAGCTGCAAGCTGTAATGAATTGTAGAAAAGAAAAAAATTATAAATAAATGAAAATGAATATGTAAGTGGCAAATTGCTTAGAATTTTATGATTAAATTCATTTTTCTCCTGCGTCTTTTATTATTCTTTTTCGATGAGAATTTCTGGATTAAATATGAATTTCTTCTGCTGCAATTTGATTCTAAATTTTTGAACTTTTTTCGAAGTTTAATTAATAAAGAAAACATTGAAGAAGGGTCATATTTTAATACCATTACTTTCAAGATAAGCTCATTACATAGAAAAAAAAGTGGCAAAAAATAATCAGCTGACTATTTATACCATCGATTCAACCAGCTTATTCGCTGCAGCTGTTGAAATCATTCGACCTCAGTTGCCTCCGCGAGTTCCTTTTACGGCTTCATTCGAGTCGAAACAAATTTCACGAAGTGGTAACTAGAGTTTTGAAAACAGAAAAAGGTCGGATAGGGCCGAATCCGGTGAATGCGTTGGTTTATCGATGGCATTGAAGAAGTTTTTGGTCTTAAAACCGTTCACCACTACAGCTACAGGAAACGAATTGTTTTGACGATTCCGGGCAGATGGGAAAGGTAGGTTAGACTTGTTGGTCTTAAGTTAGGTAAGGTGCTAGTGTCGTGTGGGGTTTACATGCAAGCAGGATATAAATTGGCTATGCCGGGTTCAAGTGTGGATAAGTAGGAGTTTGTTAGTTTACTTTAATATCCACAAGTATTTCTCGGAAATATCTTCGTGTACAATAGATGGTGATTTGACACCGAGACCATCGTTCATTGGAAGAGAGTTTACGAAGGTGTTGAAAAACTCTTGGTGAATAGCCAGTGAGGCCATACAGTACTGTCCAGCGGTTATTGTGCACGGCGCTGAATGCATTTTTTGTAATTTTACCAACTTTTGGGTCACCAAGTATATTTCTGAAAGCAGTGGAAGTCACATAAGCCATAAAACGTTTAATATAAAGCCAAACCGAGTACATTAAGTTCTACGAAAACTTAGTCTGCCTTATTTGTCTTAAATTTCTTTTCATTAATCTCTTCGGCCTTACCAAACATTCGCGCTGAAATTCAATGTATCTGTGTGTTTAGAGGAAGAATTTCTACCTTTGTGGATACGATTTAGGCCTTATGATGATTGCGACACTAATTTCAGCTGCCTGATACCTTGCGGGTTTTAAGATTGCACTGTGTTGAGGGTAGATTTTGATGGAATCTTCTCCGTTTCTGCAACTGATAAGCAACTTTTTATTTCACCGCAAAATTCTATTAAACAGTTCCTAGTATTATATCTATTAATGTGCTGAAGAAGAATCAGTCGATAAGGATTAATTGTCTTCTTTAAAACCCTAGCTGACCATGCTTTTCAGGTCGCTTTAAATTGATTGATGCTTCAGATGATCTTAGACAGAAGTACACCCGTGACGTGTTGTTCGAAGAACTGCCAAGAGTAATTCCGCTTTCACTTTTATCAGTTGCAATTCCATTGTAATGATCTAATGGCAACTTAGTTTTGAGCCACCTGTTAAGATGGGTACGATAACTTGGCACGTTTGTATGTTTTTTTTTTGGATTTTTCAAAAATTTTGTTAATGCGGAAGCTGGAGGCTGATCAGGCTTGTCTTAAGCTGGAATTCTTCTACTTGTGAGTTGTATTCTTAGAAATTTATTTCACACATCTAGAAGAGGGAAATTTTTTATAACGTTTTTGGACAAGTCCATGTTAGACCTTTCGAGACCAGCTTGGCTTGTACCAGCAGGTTAGTTCTGTACCACTAGGTTAATTCTGGTATTTTTTGGCATTGAACTATTATATTTTTACTAAGGCTTCAAAGACATGAGAAAATTTAATCTCACTTTTAATTTAGCCAAGAAAGACTTTAACGCTTTTTTTTGTAAGGATCCAGTACAGCCTTACAGTCGAAATTAAAATTCAAGTCCATCAAAGACGCTCGCGTTTCGAACTTTTTGTCAGCTTGTTATTTATTTCACCGAAGTAATTTCTCACTGGTAGAAAAATTTCTCAAAAAATTAGATAAATTAATTGATTCATTAAAATAAAAAATCCGTAATAATGTAAGTACATTACAGCACCATTCATAACGCTCCGACGCCTAAGTGGTAACTCCTACAAATATGCAGCAAAAGTTTAAAGTTCTTTCGTTGTACTCACGTACTTGAATTAAATTCTCACACCTAAGTTTAATATTATAAATACGCACGTGTGTAAAGGAGAATTGTCAGCTGTCAAGTGTTTCAAAAGTAAACAATAAACGAGTAAAAGTAAATTTTGTGTGCATAAACGTATATATATACATATATATATATTTAACAAATGGCGTTGTATTTAATATTAACGTGCTGTAGCTCAACGCTGAAAATTTTTAAATGAAAAATATATACAAATTTAATATCTGCATATATGTACATAAAATAAATACGAAAGCACATATTATGTAAAAAGTACACTAAGGAGTAGGAAAAGTAGGTAAGCAAAAGTTTTTAGTACACACATATATGCTCAAGTGCTGATATACTTTAGATAGCTACAGTTTTGTAGGTGAGTCTTCATGAGTGCCTCACTTATACACAAACACACGCCCACAAAATTACTGTCAAAGTGCCACTTTGCGTCTTGCATAAGCTGACATAATCTCTAATAATCCATGTCGTTATAAGAAGATATGTGTAACGTTTAAATGTTCACATCGACATGCAAGTATAGAGAAATATGCTTACTAATGTATGCCCAGTAATTTACTGTTCATTATGAAACTGCTTAAATATTCATTAAAGAAAATTCAGAAAAGAAATTTTACTAGCCGTGCTTTTAAACAGTTAAGGCTAGAGTTCCGATGGTGATAACTAAAACTAAAAAACTCAGAAGAAAAAGAAGAAATCATAATAAAATTAAATAAATAAAAAATTAGAAAAAAAAACTAAAATATAAACTAAAATAAGATAAAGTAAAATATAATTAATTAAACAAATAAAATAAAATAAAATAAAATAAAATAAAATAAAATAAAATAAAATAAAATAAAATAAAATAAAATAAAATAAAATAAAATAAAATAAAATAAAATAAAATAAAATAAAATAAAATAAAATAACATAAAATAAGTTAAGATAAACTAATATTTCATAGTTCAGCGAATAATAAAACATTATATATGCTGATCAGGTTTTCAGAAGCCTTAAATTAAAACCAGATTTGACTGATATTCAGCTAATTTCTGTTTTTCGTATATACAAAAGCTTGTTACTCAGATTGTGGCTTGACTAGATGAAATTCTCATGCAGGAGAGCGTTTTTTTGCTACTCTCTGCATGAATGTATGGTTGCTATTTTCTATGGCAACAATGTGACAAATGGGAATGCCTCATTGAGCGAAATGTCTTTGCAAAAGCAACAATGTAGAATGCAACTTTTTAAGTACATTTCCTGCGGAGCTTGAATTTTTTTATTTTTCTCTTTATATTTTCTCTAAGAAATTTGCCGCCTCTTATATTTTCTATTTGGAATTTAAAAAAATTTTCTTATATTTTTTTGCACATTTTCACTATATATGCATAATTGAACACAATACAAGCTAGGAAAATATTATCCCAAGCTGAAAAATACTCATACTCATCTTTGTGTGGAACAATGTATGTATTTATTAGCGCTGGGTTTAAATCTAAAGCTTACTCATACGACGTGGTGCACGCATTTGTATGCTTTGACTAGCTATGTTTACGTGCATATATATTTGTAAATATATATTTTTTGCATTTTATTTTTTGATTTTTTTTTAGACTGTTGTTGTTTATCATATTGTTGTTATTGTTATACTTTTCACTTTTTCTCAACATTGCGAATCAAAGATTGTTTATTTACGACTTTTTTATGGGTCAACAAAGCAGCAGCCATAAAAAGGCGGCAATCAGTAGAGTGGAAAGCAGCAAAAATGTAAAAATATAACAAAAACAGCAATTGAATGGCGTTCAAGCTAGCAATGGATGTAATTGAGAGCTGAAAGTGTGGTCTATGGCTGGATATACGTATGTATGTTGTTAGGTGTGAGGCTGTTGTAACTGAACATATTTGTTTGTATGGCATTGGGTGGTATTGTAAAAGAGCGAAGTAAAAAAAGGCACACAAATGTGCCCAGCTAAAAAGTTGTTATGATTTTTAGCATACAACAATATTTTTCTCACACGCATTTACCTAACAGCGTGTATTCTATCCAATCAAGCGCAAAAATTCAAACAAATAAATGTATAACTTGCATTTCTCATGACTTGCATATTTCATGTTTATGACTCGCCCTTTTTACGAAATTTTTTACCTTCTGAGAACTCAAAAATTTTATTTTAATATTTATAGTGTTATCACATATTTTTCAGTGGAAAAAAAAACATTTTATTATGGGTTTTCGCAAATTGATTGGTTATTGAAGCATTTGGTGTGAAAGAAAAATTGCGAGCACATGTCATAATATTTTGATGTCTTTTTCCTTAGACAGACATTTTTAATAAATCACAATGTGCAATGAAATAAGTAAAATAAATAAAAAAGTCACATAAAGTAATTATTATCATTACAGTCTCTCGCACGCATCAATAACTTTATTTGCATTTATTGAGTGTGTCAGAACAAACATTGAATAAAATTGAACGCAACATTCATAACAACAATATATACATAAAAAATTAAAACAAATTTCATTTAAAATGCTTTTATATGTAAAAATTAAAAAAAAAAATGTATGCCTACAATATTTTAATTTTTCTGTTTCTGTTTTCAAAATATAATTTGTATGGGATACGACTTTGCTTTTCATAAATTAATAATCACTATTAAAAAATTTAAAGGTTTTAAACTTATAAAAAACTATGACGTGTAGTAAATCAATTTTATTGCATCACTTAATTTTTATAGCAAGAAATATTTACATAAAATTAATGGTTTGGTGTAAAAAATAAACCAAAGCTTTCCGCCAGGAGCTAAAC